CTGCTGAGGCCAGAAGGCCTGTTCTCATTACGCTCCCAGTCACTCCACACTAATAAATGAAACAAAGCCTACTTGTTTCCAGAGCCCAACCCAGCCGCACCCCAGCTGCAAGCCCGCCTCTTAGGCAAGGGTTCAGTCCCCATTTCTTGACTCCTATGTGCCTAGTGGAATCCTCAATCGCATGATCTGCCCCTGCTGAGCACAGGATGACTCCCTGGGTACAGAAACTGCCCATTACACAGGCAATGACCTCTCCAGCGTATCCCTTCTTCTGGGCTTAAAACGTCGCCCTCCACCAAGTACCAGATCTTCAGACACAGGGCCTGTCCCCACCCGGTTCTCCAAAGTCCACGTGCCACAGGATAGAATGTCTGAGCCCATTGAGGCGACGGGGTTCCCTGCGACCGAGAGGACAGACCTCAGGAGTGTCCTCAACGTGGGATTCGAAGGTGCCAGGCGGGATAGTGACTAGACTAGTAGGGCGCAGGCAGGTATCCGCGGTAACGAGCGTAGGCGCGTCACCATTGCAGTCCAGCCTGTCTGTGGCCACAGCACTTAACAGTTTGGAATCCTTCACGCCCCTAATTTCTTTGGCGCCCTGCCCCTGAACACTGATTCTCCCACTTCACAAATGAAGAAACCGAGGCTGTGAAGTGCACTCAGCCGCTCCAGGGGCTGCGCGGGGCGGGGGGAAGGGGTGTCATCGCGGGAAGGAGGCGGCTCCTCCGGCTCCTCCCCCGACCTCCCGCTCTCCTCCACGCCGCCTCTGCGCTTGCTGGCTGCCGCCTCTCCGCCGCCGCCAGCTGGGGCTCGGGGCTCCCTCACCGGTGCGTTGGCTTCGTGGACGCGGGATCGGGGCCCGAGGGGGCCGTGGCGCTGCGGGTAAGTGCGGGGCAGGACAGACACCCCCGGGACTTTGTGCTCTGTGGAGGTGGATCGGGCGGCGTGGAAGGGGCTTAAACCTCAGGGCTGGGACTGGGGGAAGGCAGGCGCTGGGGGGAATTCCTACTTCCATCCCCAAAGACCTCATCCCTCAACTCTGGGCAAAGTTGGGGGCAGCAGGCGCTGCAGCATTCCGGGACCACTGTACACGCTCCTTGTACAAGCCCTTCGGCGGGTCCCGCCAACCTCGTGGTCTGGAATCGAAAGGCACTGGAGAGGCACTAGTTCTAGCCAGGTCCAGGGGCTGAGGACAAGGCAAGTTCTGGTAGTTAACATTGGGGTACACAAGTGAGGAGCCAGAACTGTATTCAGTAGCCCAGCCTGAGCTTGGGAGGGAAATTGTTTGCTGGTGAGTTTTGCCCATAGGGTGTGCCTGACGCACTGGGAGCTGGAAGATGCCCCCCCCTCTTTCCGCGGCTGCACTGAGGTGGGCCTCCGTGGGAGGGTTCGGGTGGCTCCCACTTCACAGGCTGGCAGCCATCAGATAGGTCTCAAAGCTTAACTTCGATTAATTCAGACCAAAGAGGAAATGACCTCTTCGGATTCTTACATCAGCCCAAGAAAGCGAGAATTGTTTTCATTTAGAGACAAGGAAGTAGGGGCACTGGCCTGAAAATTCTTGGAAGGCTCCCAGGTAAAGTGAGATTGAGCTACGGTTTGACTCCTGGTGTAACCATGCCACCGGTTCTCTCAAAATGCCAGGTCTTAGGAAGAGTGGAGTGGGTGAAGAGAGTGGGTCTGCAGCAGAGACGAGGTGCTTCCCGAGTCATCCCGCCTTGCCCCTCAGCCCCTTGATGCTCCTGCCCACATTCGCACCCTTGCCTCCACGCTGCCTCTCTTAGAACGCAGCCTGCATCACTAATCCATTCCGATTCTTCTGAGTGCCTACTTGTACCTTACACAAGGCATAGAAAGCAGTGAGCAAGACAGAAAGAGTCTCTGCCTTCACAGGGCTGATGTTCTAGTGGGGCATACAGACAGTAAATAGAAAATTCAGGTAAAAACTTAAGCAAAGTATCTGGAAAGGCAGAGGTTCCTGGGGAGTGAGGTGCCAGAGGCTTATTAGTTGCTGCAGAGTGGAGTCTGATTCATAGAGATTCTATGAACAACAAATCTGAGCGCTGTCCTTACCCTGTGCCATCCTCACAATACCTGACACACTTACGCCCATCGCTGCAATCACTGTGTCAATCCACCTGGTTGAGGGTCCTCCTCCCTTTTGCCATCCCTCCACCTTCCCAAGCATGATATCCTTCTCCAAGTGAATAGCCTCTCCTAGCAACATAGCCTGGGGGGAGAGGGCGAGCTAATCAGAGGAGGCCTCCAAGAAGCCAGAGTTTAAACTGGAGCTTCAAGATGAAAGGGATCCAGCCATCTGAGGTTCTAGAGAAAACATTGCAGGCAAAAGGGGAAAAGCCCCAAAGGACTCCTGCATGGTCAGAGCAAAGAAGCAGGCTGAAAGAGTAGGTGAAGGGGGGCAAGAACATAGAATCTGGGATTTCATTCCAAGCACCATGAAATCTTACTTTGTTGTTATGTACCATCAAGTCGCTTGCGACTCATAGCGACCCTAGAGACTGATGTAATGGACGCAAAAGAGCTTCAATGGCACTGTGCATAGCATGTGGCACTGCTAACCAAAAAGGTCAGAGGTTCAAATCTCCATCCACTCAGAGATAAAGACAGATTTTGTCTCAAAATTGACTCCATGGTCATGATTTAGTTTGGTTTGGTTTAGGGCCAACCTCAGCAATGCACTGGTGAAGTGCTCGACAGTTAACCAAAACTCCTGTGGTCTGAACCCAGTAGCCACTCCTTAGGAGAAAGATGAGGCAGTTCACTTCAATAAAGATTTATAGCCCGGGAAGCCCTGCGGGGCAGTTCTACTGTCTATAGGGTCACTGTGATTCATAATCAATTAGACAGCAATAAGGTTGGGTTGGGTCTGGTGCAAGAAGCGCTCCCACCTGGTACAAACAGTTAATTTAAGGTTACTAGTTAACTGAAAGATTGGAGGTTTGAGTCCACCTAGATGTACTTCTGAAGAAAGGCCTGATTTGCTTGTGGAAAAGTATCCATTGAAATTGCTATGGACCACAGTTGTATACACTGACACGCACAGGTCATCTTGAGTCAACTCGAGGTACAGGTAATGAGGATGCAAGGACAGAAGCTGAAGGGCCTGTGAGGAGGCTATAGCAATAGCAGGGACTAGAGTGTTATTATCAGTGGAGGGGTGAGAGGCAGTCAGGCAGGTGTCATACCTGCGGAGTCTCAAGCCCAATGTCAGAGGGCACACACCTCCATTCACACCCAGGTAGGCAGAGCCGGGCATGCATGCACACAGGCCCACACTCGCACATGGGGAGGCTCGTGTGTTCACACCCACGCCCACAGCTGTCTGCAGAAGTTATGTGTACTCAGGCGGCCCGCCCATCCACACCCTCTGAGTCACTCTGGTATTGGGGAAAATATGTGAGGTTTGGGGACCTTGACAGTGTCTGTCTCCCACCACAAAACCTGGCAGTTAGCAAGGGCTGGGGCTGGCTGGAGCTTCCCAGACCCAGGCACAAGGAGAGGAACTATCTTTAGATATTCTTTGGACCTCCCAAAAGGCACATCACACCACACCAATGCACCCTCAAACTCAGTTCCTCTCCCACCTTCACTATCCACCATCTGTGAGTTATTTCCCTCAGTTAGCTTATATTTCCTCGCCATTAAAAGGCAGTAATGCAGCACTAAGAACATGGGCTGGGGCAGGTGCCTGTGGAGAAGAAGGGAGGAGTACACAGCTCTGGCACCCAACAACCTGTCTTAATCCAATTATTTTTTAATGAAGAACTTGACTTCCCTAGATTTCACAATAATGACTGGTCAGGAAATGAACATATATTTTGTACTCAGTGCTTTACCATCATTGTCTCATTTGTTCATCAGTTTCTTTATCTGTTAAAGGGGAGCAAAATAGTATCTGAGGGGCGCTCTGGTGGTGTAGTCTGTAGAGAGTTGTACTGTTAACCCAAGGGTGGTGCCCCTGGCAGTTTGAATGTGCTAGCTCCACAGCAGAAAAACGGGCAATCTACTCCTGTGCAACAGCCTCTCAAAAACCAGTGAAGGGTGAGCTATGAGTCAGTTCTGACTGGATGACAGTAAGTTTGAGTTTGAATAGAATGTAACTTCTGTGGTTCTCTGTGCCACTCAAGTCAGACTGACTCATAATTGACTTTCTGGTGGGTTTTTCAGAGGCAGTAAATCACATGGGAGGAGAATGCCCATCCTTCTGTGCAGCAGCTGGATTTGAACCATATGCCTTTGGTATTGCAGCACAGCTTCTTGCCACTAGGCCACCAGAGCTCCATGTCTAGCTCATAGACTCTTTATTATACCTGAGATCTTGCACATACAGTGTTTTGCTTAGTGCCTGGTTCATACTTAATACTCACCAGTTAATAACTGTTATCATCTGCCGGTGCACATGACCCTCTTTCTGCATACTAGCACTCTGATGCTGGATAAGTTTCTCAGCCACTTTGTGCCCAAGTTTCCTGTCTGTATAGTTCAGGAAGAAGAACTGTTGTAATCTCAGGGTTCATTGAACAAGTCTTTTCATGCAAAAACACTGAACGGTGACTGGTATATAGTAAATAAGAAGTGTCACCAAGTAATTCACACAGGAGATATAGTAAATAATATCACCAAGTAATTCACACAGAGATCTCTGTAGTTCAGTAACAGAATGCTTACCTTCAGTGCAGGGGACCCCAGTTTGAATCCCAAACAATGAAGCCTTCAGTAGGAGGCTTGTGCATTGCTGTGATGCAGAACAAGCTTCTGCAGAGCTTCCAGGCTAGGACGGGCTAGGAAGAAAGGCCTGGCAAACTATTTCCAAAAGTCCACACATGAAAACCAGAGTAGTCAGATCTGCAGCTAATCACAGTCCTGGAGAAACACCAGCAGCATCTCCTTCCGGTGAATGTGGGTGCCATAAACTGGAAGTTGCTTACCACCCACCTGAATCTGCATTACGGTTTCCCCCACTATTCCCGCAGGTAGGAACGGCCCTCGGCACCAACCGCGGGCGCCATGGACTGGAAGACCCTCCAGAGCCTGCTGAGCGGGGTCAACAAGTACTCCACAGCTTTCGGGCGCATCTGGCTTTCAGTGGTGTTCGTATTCCGGGTGCTGGTGTACGTGGTGGCCGCTGAGCGCGTGTGGGGCGACGAGCAGAAGGACTTTGACTGTAACACCAAGCAGCCGGGCTGCACCAACGTGTGCTACGACAACTTCTTCCCCATCTCCAACATCCGCCTCTGGGCCCTGCAGCTCATCTTCGTCACCTGCCCCTCGCTGCTCGTCATCCTGCACGTGGCCTACCGCGAGGAGCGCGAGCGGCGCCACCGCCAGAAGCACGGCGAGCAGTGCGCCAAGCTGTACGACAACGCGGGCAAGAAGCACGGCGGCCTCTGGTGGACCTACCTGCTCAGCCTCGTCTTCAAGCTCGTCATCGAGTTCCTCTTCCTCTACGTGCTGCACACACTCTGGCACGGCTTCGCCATGCCCCGCCTGGTGCAGTGCAGCAACGTGGCGCCCTGCCCCAACACGGTGGACTGCTACATCGCCCGGCCCACTGAGAAGAAGGTCTTCACCTACTTCATGGTGGGCGCCTCGGCCATTTGCATCGTGCTCACCATCTGTGAGATTGTCTACCTCATATTCCACAGGGTGCTGCGGAGCATGCACAAGGCCAAGCACCCAGGAGGCCGCAGCCCCTCATCCTCCGCCAGCCGGGCCTCCACCTGCCGCTGCCACCACAAGCTGCTGGAGTCTGCGGAGCAGGACCCCAGTCTGGGCAATGACAAGCTGCAGGCTTCAGCACCCAACCTGACCCCCATCTGACCAGGAGTTAGGAGGCCTTATCAGTGGGACATGCAGGGAGGTTTTGCGGGGGGTCCTACGGGTTCTGGGTGCCCCCACTGAGCTAAAGCGAATTCACTAAGCTATTTAAATTCATGCCTTGACTTTATTTTTTCCTGGTGCTGAGATCTACCTGCATATAAGTAACACCTCAAGCCCTGTGCCACCCCTCTGGGAGACAGACACTTAAGCACATTAACTCCAAGCTTGCAAATGGGACACTTAAGGGGCTCAAAGCAGGAACCTCACCCAGAAGGAGATAATCAAGCAAAATTTCCCTGAGGAAATAATGTTGACAAATGGGGGGGGGAAATTTCCAAGCAGAAAAAAAACAGCCTGGAGGCCATAATAAAACAGAAGGCTTGCCCTGGGTGGAATCGCCAGACCACAGGAAGTCTCCACTCCCTCTGAGGCAGCAGCCCAGATTCCTGGGGTAGAGAGGTGGTGTTCCTCTAGCTGCAGAGGGCCTGGAGGCGAAACCAAGGCCTTGGAAAGAAGTGGTGCTGGTGAGGCTAATCCCAGCTGGACACTTCCAGGGAGCCCCCAAGACATCACTGCCCTCAGGAGGGGCCTCGCCTTGGCCCAGACATTTTCCTCCAGTGCCTGTTAGCTTTGCTCCCACCTTCCTCACTGCAGATGTGCTAAATCTGGTGCCAATATGTTAGACCCTTGCCCCTAGGGACGTAGAGTGGCTGGGCTGACAGGAAAAATCTCAAAGCCATTGCCTTGTAATAATAAACGCTGTTGTTTTTGTACAGATTGGCTCTGTCATCTGTTCTTCCATACTTATACATGCAGTGGCTTGAGGTTAGGTTCCCTTCCTCAGAAGGGAAAAGAGCTCCCGCAAGAGTTGTTGTTGTTGTTGTTGTTTTTATGTGCCATTGAGTCATCTATGACTCATAGTCATCCTATGTACAATATGTACAATAGTTCTGAAGCCTGCCCTACTCTGAGCCAGTCTCACTCAGACACACCTAACCCCATTACACGAGTTACTGTGTTAGTCTGTCTCTTTGGGGTCTTCCTCTCCCGCACTGTTCCTCCACTCTTCCAAGCATGATGTCCTTCCCCAAGGACCAGTCACTCCTGGCCACATACCCAAAGTATGTGAGACGGAGCTTCATAATCCTAGCCTCCAAGGAGAAAAAGGATGTGACCCTCTCCAAGACAGACCCATTTGTTCTTGGAAGTCCATGGTATGTTTAATACTCTCCTCCAGCCCTACAACTCGAAGGCATTGATTCTTCTTTTGTCATCCTTAGTCATTATTCAGCTCTCTGATGCTTAGCAAATACTTGCAAAGACCATGGCCTCGGTCAGGCCCACCTTAGTCCCTAGACTAATATCATTACTTTTTAGCACTTTGGAGAGTTCCCTGACAGCAGACTTCCCCAATGCAGTTTGTATTTTTATTTCCTCATTGCTGGTACCAAGAGTGCTGACTGTGGATCTGAGCCAAGTGAAATTGTTAACCTCAATCTCTTCTCCAGCTGTTATGGTGCTGCCAATTGGTGCATGAAGCTGAGACTGACTGAAGTGAGTTAACTGAGTTGGGAGTCGGGTCTGGGTTACAGGCTGATGCTAGGGTTGAATAACACAGGTTGTGGTGCTAGTTTGTAGCCACAAGGGGGCACCATGCTCCTACAACAGACCCGTCCTTAACATTTACACCATCACTGTCACTCTCACTATAAACTCCCTGCCTCCTTTGTAATCCAATCAGTGCCATCCGCTAAGTCATCCACTAACCACATCCCCACCCTGTGTACACACAATCTCAGTTATTCATATTCTCCGTAAGTACACACAAGAGGCCACGTTGGTCTAAAGGCATGCAGTCCCAGCCTCACCCTAGCATTTTATGTAGCTCATTCCATTTTTCATCAGCATTTTCTCCATACCAGGACCCTGCCAGGATGCTGGAACTGGATAACAGAATAGAGCTAGTCCTACAAAGAGCCTGGGGCAAACAGTAAAATAATCATCTGGTAAGCAAGCCTGGAGTGCTCACAGCCCCATTCTCAAAAGCCAAAAGCAATGAAGGCCAAATCTAAATTTGAAACAAAGGGGTTATATTAAGACAAAGGTCTCTCATGGCATAGTGTATAGGGGTTTGTGTTGTTAACTCAAAGGCTGGATCTCTAAGACAGTTTGAATCTACAAGTGGCTCCATGAAAGAAAGATGGGCAATCTCCCCCATGTGATTAGCAGACTTGGAAACTCAACAGAGTTGGAGTCCGTTCCAATCCACAGTAATGGATGAAACCAAAGGTTACACAAAACCAAAGAGGCTCTTTCCCCCTCTGTTGTCATCAAGTAAATTCCAGCTCAAAGCAACCTTATGTGTTAAAAAGCAGAACCTGCTTTCTTGACTGTAACCTTTACAGAAGGAACCCATGTCTTGTAACATGTCAGCTACTAATTCACCCAGCAGCTTCAAAGGAGGAAGACCTGGCCTTCTGCTTCTGTAAAGAATGAAGGTAAGAAAACTCTCTGGGATAGTTGATTCTGTAACATGGGACCACCATGAATCAGAATTAACAGCCAGAATGCCAGCAATCTTTGTGGAAGTATATCATCAGACCTTTCTTGCAAGGTGGTCCTGGACAGGTTCAATTATAACCTTTGGGTTAACAGTCAAACACAAACCATTTGCAACATCCAGAGACCATTTAGTCAGAGAGGCATTTGATGACTATCAAGGCCAAGGTCAAGGGTCAGAAAGTGAGGAGCCAGTGAGTCAAGAGCCAACAAAAGCAGGGAGAAGTCAGGTCATTGTGTAGGCAGCAAGGTTCACACATGGGCTTACATGCCAGTATGATGTAAATAACCCACTCAAGTTTAAAGGGTCCAAGGCCAGGTTGACATCATCTGCCTCACCCTAAGTCCATCTGAATCAGAGCTTAACTACTTCCTGGTCACAGCTTCATCACATTGCACTTTGGGCAAGCTTTCAGAGCCTCAGTTTTGTCATCAGTGCAATAGGGATTCTATCAGTCAGGGTCCCTGGCAATAAACAAAAGGCACTTTCAAACTGAGTAGTTTGAGCTTTTCTAGAGGAAAAGGCCTGGGTATGATTAAGAAACTGCACCAGGAAGCTATGGATCAGCCCCCAGAGCACAGAGCAGAGTGAAGGAGCGTGGAGAGTGGGTCTGCAGGACACAGTTCAGCACAGCTCTTGTAATAATCTTAGGACTGATGTAAAAATAAAATGCAACACTGCAGGTAAAGCCAGATCCCTAAGAAAGCCTCAGTAAACATCTAGGTGGATCTCGGGTCACTGGGTGGTGCAAATGGTTAACACACTTGGCGGGGTTATTGACTGAAGGTTGCCAATTCAACTTGTCCTCAGGAGAGAAGCCTGGCTAGCTACTTCCAAAGGAAAACAGTGCTACTCTGTGACTGACGGAGTCATTGGGAGTCAGAACAAGCTTAATAGCAACCAGTTTGCTTTAGGTTTTCTTTCTGTGTGTATGTATGTATGTATGTATATAAATATATATTTATGTAATTATATATAATA